TCCTGGATTCGTCTGTGATCTCTAGAAGGGATCACTAGCTTATCGATTTCTTCAGCTTCAGCTATTTCGGAATGTCCTTGGTGTTTACTGAATATCGTTAAATTCGTTTCGAATCTTTGCTACTTCCAAACCACAGTTAAGGCGTCTTATCAACTTTTGTTTTATCATCCATTTTAAGAAAGCCAAAAGTCAAGACCCACCCCATATTCGTCCCCTACGAAAGAGCGGAAGCACTCGAGGAATAGCGCAACTGGTAGCATCTGTTAACAGTAGACCAGCTCTTGGCAAGGTTGTTGATGGTTCTCTCTTTCAAGAGTTGCTTACAAGCTGATGATAAGTTTGACTCCCTGGCATATGCTGGTATCAGGTTTAAATGCATCGAAAGCACTAGCCGAACTGAAATAAAAGGCCGAAAAAAAGGATTATTGTCAGATCAATAAAACAATAGATAAACCAAATAAAGGTGGTGGAAACTGAGATGAGTTCTTGAAAAGTACAGAGTGATAAGACCCGTAATGTTAGGGGATACGAGATTACTGACTAGTAAGTGATACTTCCCAAGACAGTGAGAGATCTCATGGACGCGCGGAAGGTGGTGTTATGGCGTGTGATCTGAATTCAAAACTCCCTTTTTATGCGTTTTTTTGCAGCTATGCGATGCAAAAACGCATATTGATGAGGGTTGTCTGTGTGTGCGTCTATCACGCACTTTCATTTCAAGACCTGTAAAAGCTGCAGGGCTGAAACTTTGGGAACTTAATCCACGTGCACGTACGGGCCACAATCCCCGAAAGGGGCGCCATTTCCCGTGTGGTACCCACGTAAGAGCACGCCAAAGTTTTTTCCGGCTAAGTTGATAACTCGGGAATTTGAAGAACTGTAACGAGGGTGTTCCCCCGCTCACCTAAGTCTGAGCTCAAACCCAGACTCTAGGTACGCGTGGTACCCTCATACGGGCTTGCCAAAGTTTTTTTCGGGTAAATTGCTAACTCGGGAACCAAGAAAGCTAGAAAGTTGAATTTTTAAGGGGGTTTTCTTAACAGTTCTGGGGGCCAATCTAAATTTGTTTAGCTAGGAGCATTTGCCGAAAAAACCGGTGCCGGTACCGACAAAAACTGCGGGGAACTATGCAAAAAACGCATCTTCGCACGGGCAGCCCGTGCGTTGGCCAA